TATTGTCATAGCAGAAAATATCAGGGTTTAGACAGGCAAGCCAAAAAAAGTGATAAGGCAGCATTCCAAGTTTTAAATTATTGATGATAATGACTTACTCCTGTAACGCATGAGGTGACGCTTAACAATTAATGACTGGGTATGACAAGCAATGACTAGTAAAATAAGGTGCTATGTTGCAATCAGAATGGGCATTTTTATTTTATGGTCAGCCATAATGATATGCATCGATTTGAAGAAACATAATGGCTGACACACAGACATTTCAACTGTGTTTTGTTTTTTTAATAACCAACAACTTCAGGTAGAATTTATATTTGTTTCCACCCAACTGTCTGTGCTTTCCTCAATGACACATTCAGATTGGAGTACATCTCTAGTAGCATGTAGTGGTGAACTCATAGAACTAACGCTCAACCCTGACATTCCCCTGAGCTCTCAAGAGCCCTTTAGTCTATTTTGGATCATTATTTTTCCTTAGCAGCCAAGGCAGCTCTTTTTATTTTGATGAACTAGCTGCGTGCTGCTTGCCCAGCATTATACAGCAGACATTCAGTTGGATGCTAGCTGATGAACATCCAGCTGTGGAACATATAGCAAGCTAAAGAGACTCATAGTTTCCTCAGGGGTTGGTTAGGACTAAAACAGAACTAATATGCTTGGCTGATGACAAAAATATTGATTATTTTGACATGAAAACGAATAATAATTTTGATGTAGGAGCAATCAATTTTTTTTTTTTCAACAGACACACAAATCTGACAGTCTGGTTCAACATCACTGGTATCAAGCCAGCCTGGCAACACTTACTATTTAAAAGGTCCAGTGTGTAGGACTTGTGATAAATATGTTTTATTTATTGTATCATTGCCTAAAAACAAGAAGAGGGTTTTCTTTACCTTAGACTGAGCCATTTGCACCACCATGTTTCTACAGTAACCAGACTGGACAAACCAAACATTGGCTCTAGATAGGCCCAATGGCTTTTTTGCTTCTCCCATTGTAGTTTGCAGTCCCTCCGTGATGAGAGCATAGAGCAAAAGTTTTTCTTTTTTTATGTGTTTTTAGCTGTTTACATCCCTGGGTTCATTTGTTTTGGAGACGAGAGCTTTATGTACAATTTGGTTCACAGTAAAAACCTCTTGAACGTCTGGATCAGAAATGAGGTGAGCACACGCCAAGTCATCAGGACAAAGCTGAGCACAAATGGCAGCCCATCTGGGATGTGCCAAACGGTGCAAAAGAAACACTAATTTGTAACATGAAACTGCTTTATTCAGTGTTTTTACAGGTAACCTGCTCTGTTTGTTTTGGAGAGGAAGAGCCCTCTGTGGGTAATTCAGGTCCCAGTAAAAACCTCCTGAACAATGAACACTGAAGGAATTCTAATCTGGAGAGGTTTTAGCTGGTTGCAATCTGCAATCCTGGACCACTGGATGTCACTAAATCCTTCTAAATCTTGCACACTGTCTCTTAAAAATGTTCCAATGAAATTACATAGAGTGCAACATATTATTGAACTGGTCACTTCATCTACATTTCACATAGTTTGAATATGTTTCTTCTCATTTTCATTTAATCTATTATTCATTATTTAATTAATACTCACCCATATGTTTTATCAAGATCTACGTTCAGGCCTATCCAGTAAGGCCTATCTCCATAATTTTTGGACATCTACACACACAGAGGAAAACAGTAAAACCAGACGTACTTGCATTGCAGTATGTTTTAATCTCAAATACCACAGCTAAAGAGTAATGACAGTAATGGAGTATGAATGTCATTCCTCACCCGTTTCCATAAGAAGACACTTTCAGCTTCACTGTTGATAGTTACCAAGTCACTATGCCTCTCTTGGCAGAAGCGTCGAGCTTCTTCCATGGCCATGCTCATAGTGTTGAGATAATACTGAGACCCCCCCCATTCTAGCCACCCATCAGAGGTCCTATTGTAATCTGAAAACATGTGAGAAATGTGTAATATATTACAGTACTGTACATATATAGGTCAAGATTTCTGTAGCTTTAGCCACGCTAGCAGTATGGTTCTATGGACTGTACAGACATTCCTGGTCCCCAGAGGTTGAATCTCTTTGGTTTTTAACTGACGTGTACCCCAGCGCCACCAACAGGTTAAAAATTTCACTTCTCTTGTGAAACATCTTGGTACTAAATTGCTACTAAATTTGGCCCCAAATTTTGTACATACAGACATTCGTGATTTCCAGGTGATGTATCCTACTGATTTTGCTAGTCCATTAACTTTCCATCCAGCCCCAGAGCCACAGTGGAGTACGCTGCTTAGCAGACTGTTGGCTCCACACGCTCCTCCGTTGTCATTAGATTAGGAGCAGAATGAGGGCAGTGTTGCCAACTGGGCAACCTTTTCACTAGATCTGGCAACTTTTCAGACCTTCTTAGTAACATTACTTTTAATAGTCACTAGTGACAAATTTAGCAACTTATTCAGCCCATCGGGAAAGAAAAGACAGAAATAAAGTATATTATATTGTAATTCATCCACATGCATGCTGCTCAGAGTAATCACAGTTCATGGCTCTTCTGCCATCAGGAGCGTCTCTCTCCTCCGTGCAGTAGGTGTGGGAGAGGCGGGAGGAGAGATCAGTTGTGAGTTTCTATGGTTATGTAGACGCTCTTGCTCTCTGGATTGAAAGTGTGAAAAAGCAGAGCACTACAATAAAAGTACCATAATTCTCATGCTATTCAAATATTTTGTTGAGGATTTCTGTATTGAGTCTAATTGTGCGAATTTGTAATGATTCCATTAATGTGTGATGACATCACCAATATGCAAATGAGCATGTGACGTCTTCTGGCAGTTATTAGTGACTTTTGGAGCTAAAGCTAGCTACTTTAATTTGAAAAGAGGTGGCAACACCGGGCGCGAGAGAGATGAATAAATTAGACCTCTGCCACTTTGTTTTGAAAATGGAAAACAAAGATTTTGCTACCTGATATCCAAACAGACATCTCTTCCTATTTCTCTCCATATTGCTCTGTTAGCTAGCTACTACAACCCACAGACAGTGAAATGCAGTTTTTTATTGACTGGCGTGGTTAGCTAGTTGCCCATAGTTTTATTTGATTGGATGAACTTTTGCAAATGCCCCTGAGTGCAGGATGAGTCACCAAACATTCAAAACCATTAAGCTGGTTCTACAGAAAGAGAAAAGACAGGGATTTTGATGTAAAATGCTCTGATACTGATTTTTGGCATATCTGGCATATACCAAGAGGTACATCATTTATTAGCACAGGGACACAGGATTAAAACTGGGAAAATGTATTTTTCATTTCATGGGGACTTTAATGTTAGCACATAAGTATTGTCATCATGGTGGTGTTAGCATTCTAATGTTAGCATTTAGCTTAAGTCTATGTGGTTACATCAAGGAAAGGTCCACTTACCAGGAGGGGGAGGGCTTGGAGGCGGTTTTGGATTGATTCCTGTAACGACACAGATGTAAGAAAATATACTCAAAACACAAATAAGAGTACTGGAGTGATAGTAGGCCATGCTGATTTAAGAATATGTTCACCTAAATAAATTTGAGAAAGACACTGTCGGTAGGTCAAGTTTGCTCAGTTAACCTTCAACAACGGTTATAAAAGATTGGCATGCTCTTCTTTGACACCTTGTCAAGGTTCAAGGTGTCTTTATCATCCCCGAGGGGCAATTTGTGTCACAGCCAGCAGTTAAAACAAAGACAACAATTATCACAACAAATAAGTAAACAACCATAAAAGAATACACAGTACATTTAGCAGCCATTTAAGAGGCTGACAGCAGCAGGGATAAATGATTTTTTGAACCGATTTGTTCTGCATCGGGGGAGATTATATCTGCGCCCTGATGGTAGCAGCACCAAATTGTCCCTTAGTGGATGGCTTGTGTCGGCCAGGATACATTTAGCTTTATTCATGCACCTAACCTGATACAGGTCATGGAGGTCATTTGAGGGTGCTCCAGCAATTTTACTGCACACCTTCATAATGCCTTACAGGTTTAAAAGAAAGTGACCCGTGCCAGCAGATAAAAGAGAACAGATTCGATGAAACAGGAATGAAACATTTTCATTAAAGTGGTGTCAACATTAAAAGTGCAAAGCTTGCGATAAAAGTGCATGTGCTGATGTGCTTTCTTACATACAACATCAACTTGGGGCTCAAAGCACAGCTTGCTATCAATGACACTACTGGGGTATTTGTACTGCTGCACAAGTTCAACAGATTGTTTGTCCATCACCACAGGGGAGATGACAGGGATTTTTACTAAAATCAATACATATCTCCTTTGTTTTGGTGACACTGATATCTAAAAAGGATGATTTACACCCCTGGATAAACAAACAAGTGAGAAACAAATTATTTCAGTCCGTTATTTTACCTAAACGGATCTGGCACACCCATCCTTTGTACGTCTCACAGTGCAGATCGTTCCAGGACCCACGATCATCCCTCCTATACATTTTGAAAACAGCACAAGATTCCACGTTGTTTTTATTGTTTGGTTCTTCATCCTCCCAGTGTTGGAACTGCACCTGTAAACAAAAACAAACAATAAAACACACTTATTTATAATTTTATTGTTTATTTATTGAGGTGTCCTGAACTAAAAAATATACTCAACTATTAAAGTAGAACACTGTTAACTCACTGGGGATCCATCACTCCATACATATCCGGTGGCTGGGTCAGGGGCACTAAGTCCAATCCAGACTGATTCATAGCTAAAATAGACAATAGTTATATTTAATATTATCATCGTATTGGCCATTAAAGTATAAAACCTATTTGAAAATTGTTAAAATAAACATTTTCCCAGTGCTCTGCTGGACACTAGCTAACATTCATCATCTGCTGCAACCAGTTTTGTATTTTCTTTAGTTTTTTACTTTGTCAGGTGATACTGTACCGTTCTGGTAGCTCTCGTAGATCTTCCTGACTGTGGATACTGAGCAGGTCTCCTCCTCTGGCCCTGCAGTAATCTCTGGCCTCGAACCAGGTCTTCCCGTCTGACGATGAATGTGAGGATGTAGAAAACACCTTAACCAGAAGACAAAGAGGTTAAACATAGTTTGATAGTGTGACTTTCCAAAAAACAAATGGTGTTTTATTGTTTTTGTACTCGTTGTTTGTGTGTCCATTGGAGTACTTTAGTTTGTAAGTAATAGCACAAGTGTATGCACAAGTTCATCTTTATTGTCAGAGTGGGCAACCTGAAACTTATGCAAGCTCGCCTTTTTAAGCTAGGCCCACAAGGGGGCAGAAAAGAGATGAATGCAAAATGTCCTAACATTATCTGAACAGATGTAAAATTTTCTTGCCAACATGTTAGCTTGATCATGTAATATAAGGCATTGCCCATACATGCCATCATAATCAGACATTTTATTTGTAATAAAGCGCCCCAGATGTTCTGTTTTATTACAAACACACAGCACTTTCTCTGATGGATAGAAATCTGGAAAGCTAAGGTCCTCATTGTTCTACATATCATGACAACGCTTTTTTTTTTTTTTTGCATTGTATCGCACATCATGTTTGACCCCGCATTCAAAACATATACTCATTAGCTGCTGAAACCCAGCACTGCGACGAGTGAAGATAGCCAGATCCTTTGCATATATAAGATGGTTTGTTATTGTGTTACCAAGCCAACAGCCAGTTCGAACCCTCTGAATTGGTTAGATAAATCATTCATGTTTACAGAGTTTAAAGAGGGTGGGAGAAAAAAGGCCCTCCTGTTGTACTCCATTACCAATGCCAAAGGGAGCGGAGACTCTGTTGCCCCATATGACCTGCGTATTCTGGTTGGCATACCAATATACCAGGATTCTTGTAATGCTGTCAGACTCAATATAATGCTTTGACTCAATTTCAGAAACAACATTAGGAGATTAACTTGGCCAAAAGTGGTGGAGGCATCAATAAAGTTGATTAAAAGTTTTTCCTGTCTTACATTCAGCTACTTCTTTCAAGGCATAGATACTCAAATCGTTGTCATGGTTAGCCTTGAAGCCAGACTGGTTGTCGGTGGTGCCAGAATATTTACACAAATCTTTCTAGAGTCCTCTCCAGATGGGTATACCGCAAACCAAGTTCAACAGAGCCAGGCTCTCCTTGCCTCAACTGGCTCAACAAACCCTAAAGCCCCGGTCAGAGATAACGGATACCACAAAGGTGGTTATCTATTAATTATGAATTATTAAGAGGATGAAGTGGATTTTGGAGCTGTACCTTAAAGCAGTAGTTTCTCGTTCCTACTCGAGCCCAGCTGAATGTACATCTGCTAGGGGAAAGAGTGGGTGGTGCAGGGGTTAAAACTGCCCCCTCTGCCCGGTGTTTGCAGATGTATTTCTCCTTTCTGGTGCAGGGCAGCACATCCCAGAGGCCAGCAAAAATCCCCGTTGTCATGGCAACACAGCCCTGTTGGTGACCTTGCATAGTTGGGGGAAATATTGCAAACTGTCAGTTGTGAAAGCCACTTTCTGCCACATCTTACAGATGAGGTTTAAAATCTCTCCATACCTGGCATTCCAGCATTCCAGTGAGTGAACCTCACTGACTCTGTGTTGGTCCACACAAATCGATCAATGTTTTTCTGGTTTGAGAGGCCTAGCCAGAAGTATTTCTCTGGTCTCATCCCCACCAAGCTGATGAGGAAGGCATTATCCACCCTGAAAAAATTTGCATAATTAAGATCACAGGATTTCTGTTGTCACTAAATGTTGTACAAACAAAACCTTATGTGATTTTTTTTGTTTGTTTGTTTGTTTGTTTATCCCAATACACCGTACTTCTGAAATTGAGTATTACTCATAACATTTGGAGTAAAAATACATTTTCTCACGCATTTGAAACATCAGCAAGGTAAGAAGATGAGCTCTTGCAGTCATCTTTGGCTTCGTCAAAGGTTTTGGTCTGTGTCGCTATTAAGTAGCAATACGAGCCATGTCTTCTCCACCCCTGGATTGTTGGAAAACAAAAAGTGAAGAAAGATTATCAATTTTTTGAGAAAAAGGCCAACAGATCCCACCAACTATAATTTCTCAGTTTTCAATAACTTTTAAAACCCTATAGATATCAGAAAAAGTGAAAGATGCTACAATCACAAAAATATTCTATACATTTAAAGCCAGCCTAATGCAGTGTAAGTATCATCAAGTTAAACATTTAACAGTTAATGCTGCATTAATGTTTTTTGACCTCTTGGGGGAACTCTTTACCACACTGACAAAGTCCTGACAAATCATTCTTATACTGTAACAGTAAGAAGGAACATGAGCGCTCATTTGAAGTCATGTTCCTCTCTACCTGTAAATGTAAGAGTAGCATTGAATAGGCTTTTAGCTATTTGTTTGGGTCTGGGTGAGAAAAATATTTAGCACTGAAGCTGCTTGATGCCTAACTGTGTTCACCAATTAACTTGCCAGCTTTGTTTGTATGCTTTGTTAGGTGGGCAAGTTGAGTACTGAGAATTTATCAGAGCTTTGCTGCACCAGAGACAACCAAAACACTGAGCTGAAAAAAGGCTAAATAGCTCTGTTTAGCTTTGCTGGATGTTGGTGTTAGGTTGTAACCCTAGGTACACCCAGGTTAAACTTTAGGAATTTTGAAATAAATAAAAATTAGTTAACTTAACGCACATTTTTGCAGCCCACATTCTGCTGCACTTGATTACCAGTGGGTATTGAGGCACTCATCTTCATACATATATAGCCATGTTTCTCCTCACACACATGGTCAGCCCAGTTTCCATTCTGCAACAGATACAGTTGAATATGTATTTATGTGGAGTCTGGATGTACTGAGAAGTACTGCAGTCAAATGCACTGATAAAATTGCATGTCAAACAGAGACACCAGAGTCATAAAACTGTACAAATATAATATCATGTTTTAGATACAGACAGATACAGTAAACAATTTATATACTGAATTTTAACGCATGCACAATTAAGTTAACTATAGCTGCAAAATTAATAATTTTGCTGTCTGATAATCAGATTTTAAAAAATGAAATTTGATGCCACTTTTTTTCAGTGCATATACACAAAGCCACACATGCTCCTTACCTCTCCCCTGATGAGAACACAATCCTGTAGATCAGTGGACCCAGCAGGTTTCCCAAATTCCCAGCTAGTGAAGCTGACAGTCGAATGATCAATCCACTCAAACAGTCCCTCTGTCTTTCTGTCATTCAGTCCAATCCAAAGCTCATCAGTGGATGCTGCAGACACAAATAAAGGAAAATATTGTCTGTAAATTATTCACAATTACAGGTAACAGACACTAACAGACATCTGCATATGGTATTAATGTGTTTTGATCCATTTGTGCCTCTTGACTGGTTTATTCTGTCTTTTTAATCACCGACTAATACTTCAGCCGTCTGTCTACCAGCTGGCTAGTATTATTCGATTTCAACAACAAAGGAAGTCTATGAGGGTTTTCTACAGCATATTATAGCAGAGGCAGGCGACCTTGCCTGAATTAAAGACCAGCTCCACAAACATCATTGTGAAGAAATAACTATACAAATGTAATATTGCCCTTCAGAGAAAAAGTGCTGTGGTGCTATCTTGCAAAGCAAGTGCTATGCATTGTCTTGGGTAGACCAGTTGTTTTGACCATCATCTTGAAACTAAAGTTTTCGTGAAAAAAAGAAGTGTTAGGATATGTCAACCTTAGTTCAGCACATGACAATGTATGATTGTAAATTCCCTTTGAGGTAAATAGTCAGAGCAGTGAATTGCAAGCCAGGAAAAGAAAGGGTGGAGAAGGGAAGGCCTCAGGGCTTTTTTGTTGTAAGGATTTGTTCCTTAAAGATAAACGTGTGTTTTTATTTTTTCTCACATACTGTATCCAAGTTGAGAGATGACAAAGCTTTGGTGCTCCACATTGCGCATGCTGACTAGGTCCCCTCCGTCATTACGACACAATCTCTGAGCATCAGCCCATGTATTCTGAGTACGATTAAGGTAGAAGCAGTGGCCACTGTAGGGAATCCAAGGGCTTGAACAAAATCCAGTCTCAACAGCTGATCATGAAAAGAACAAAGAAATATAACAACTTTATTAATGACAGATATTGTAGCTATATGTGGGGATGAGTAGAGCACAATAGAAATACATTTTTCTTTACCTTGTGTAGGCACTACCTCGGTGGCTTCACTGTAACAGATGTACCCGAGTTTCTTGCTGCAAAGTGAACTTTGCCAGGAGTACTGTACAGCAGGATCAAGAATTGCACAGTTGTGTCCTGGATTAGGAAGTGGATGTCCTAAAACAAGATGATGGTTATATTTGACATGTGGTACTGCAAACAGCTTCATATCAACCCACAGATTTATCCTAGCTTTATAGTCTCTCACATAACCGTAAAAAGAGAGAGACGACTTCTTGTTGTGTATATACAAACGCAGATCAAAATCTTGTGTCGGGTGCTCATGGACAACAGGACACAAAGGCAATCCAGGCACTCCAAAAGAATATAGAAAAACTAGGAGGGGAAATACTGAAAGATCTTTATTGTAGTGGCTAAATCATTAAAGCCACAGTCTGTAGGAATTTCTCCCATTTTACGCTGAAATCGTATATTGCATTCAAACAGATAGCGCACTCTAGCGCCTCACTGTTTCAAATGCATATTGCAACAATGGTAGCTGCTGTGTACCAAAAAGAAGCGTCTCTTGCTCCTCTCCTTCCTGGCTCTCAACTAAAACGCAGAAGGCGGGGCTATTCCCTGGTAGTGCTATATGTCCCTTGCTGGCTGATGTATTTTCAAGATGGCGAAACATTATGGAACCCCTCTAACGACTTACCCTCCCCATGTACAAACAAATCCGAAATTCTCCTTTTACGAGAATAAGATTATTGGTGGAGGTAATAATACACCAATGATGATATATTTATGAATGCAGACATTGATTTTTGCCAATAAACAACTGAAAACGCTACACAGTGTCCCTTTAAAAGAGCCAACATGTTTCGACCACTGCAGGTCTTCCTCAGGGCTTACAAAACATGCAACACTTAACCCACCGTAAAACCACAAATTGTCTTGTTTACACCGCAGTTTTTGTATGTGTTTAACAAATACAATATAATGTGTAATTATTGTAATTTGTGAGGTGAAGAAGTGCTGGAAGACAGATCCTGTTACCTATATTGCCTTTATATATAATAGACAAATATGAGAGTAGTATTAATTTTTATCTAACTCTAGGCAAGAAAGCAATGAAGATTTTTCCCCAAAATCTGAAAACCATTCCTTTGACTCAGGTTTTTCTCACATCCACTTACTCACTTTAACACTTCCGTTCCCAAAGTCAGGTACAGAATGTATGTTCAAATCAATTTATATTATGTCAAATAACATGAATTAATAACCTCACTAGAAATTCAGTGCTTCTGGAAGCTCATGAGAATTGTAATAAAAATGGCAAAATTAATATTAATAACAACACAAATATCAACCAAATAGAGATAAAAGAAGAAACATCACCTATCAATCCAAATTGGGTTTACAAAGTTCATAACCACATTATCTTTGAATGAGTGAAAATATTAAGTACAAGAAAAAAGTATGCATTACACTGTGTATGGTCTACAAAATGGAGACATTTTTCGGTGATTTCAAAAGAAAAATGCTGGATTATAACTAAGCTGACTTCATTAGGTAGGTTGTTCCTTAATTTAAGGGCTTAGTTTGTATTAATTCAAGTTATCAGATTGTAGAGAAAACTCGTAACACTTGATAGCACTGTACCAAATGTACATATTTGACTGGTACAGATTTAAGCGTAATGGAGAAAAATATTCAACTTACTCTATTTGCTAGCTTCATTACATTTTAAGGGGTTAGCGAAATGTTTTTGCTAATACATTTTAATCTACGCAATCACTAGAATAAATGTTGGCATTGTATGTTTCTGTAAACCATACATTTTTATGTTGTTATGTAGCAGATACATTAAATGTTTAGACATAAAAACCGCTTGGTTATGATGATCATGTTTTGGCTTAAAATAGCCAGTTATGGTGCCACAATAAATTGCTGCTGGAAACACAGTGATGGCTCACTAAAAACAACCAGTTTTGTCATTGTTTGGTCCTGAACAGTGGTCTGCAGTGATCAACAGCTTAGAGGCTCTTTTCACTTAAGGGGGATTTATACTTCTGTGGCAGGCCCTATGTTGTAGCCTACGCACGTGGCCTATGCAGTTGTGAGCATATACACTTGTGCGGTGGTGTGTCTGTGTCACTCTGCAGTTACACCTCCAAAACGCTAGTTGGCAGTGGAGTTTCTGTTAAGTGCTGTAAAGTTTAGTTGATTCAAAACACATCTTAAACTAGGGCTGCCACTAACGATTATTTTCGTTTTCGACAAATCTGTCGATTATTTCTTCGATTAGTCGACTAATCATTTCATCAAAAAATGTGTTAAAATGTTGAAAAATGTCGGTCTGTCTCGCCCAAACCCCAAAATTACGTCATTTAATGTCTTGTTTCATACTCACACCAAAGGGTTTTAGTTCACTGTCACGGAAGAGTGTGTAAAGCTGCCAATATCTGAACGTAGGAAGCTGCAGTAAGAGTATTTTGGGGTACTTTTATAGTACTTTTCTATGAAAAATCGACTACTAAATTTTTAACAGTCGATTAGTCATCGATTAGTCGACTAATCGTGGCAGCCCTACCTTAAACACACATTAAACATGGCATAGAGACAATTTCAAACACAAGTACACAAATCAGCTTCACTGTAGCTTGCAGCATTCACAGACAAAGCATTTGTCTTCATCTGAACACATTTTCCCCACAAATACAACATGCTAATGTTTTTAGCACACGCCTATGGCATTTTATGTTGTATAAATTAGCCTAACGACTAGCAAACTTTTCCTCTACTCATAGAATATAACTCATATAATTAATCACTTTAAATTCATCACTTTATTAGAAACACTGATTGATTTTGTATGAAATGTACAAAAATAACATATCTGTGGTCAAGAAATGACATTTTCTTATGACGACTGGGCTGTTTTAATAGATAAAAATGTGAATATATCAGAATAGAAACACAAAGAATTGAAGTGGAAGACAAACTTACCTGAGTCCCATTTCAGATAGCGGTAAGGCTTCCCATTAGTCCATTTCCAGCCATGTTCTGGATACAGGATCAGCCCAGTCCAAAGTTTATTGCCGCCTGAACCTAGCAGTGCTGTTTGGGGTATGGGAAACAAAAATGATCCTCACCCTATGTCACTCATTGTTGGTAAAGCTAAAAGCTTGTGATTTTTTAACAACTCAACAGTATCCATGTAAACATTCAAATATATCAATAAAAGTAATGCATTTTAAGGTCCAGTGTGTAGGATTGAGGGAGCAGAAATGGAATATAATCTGATTCAGATTCTCACAGTCCTCTGTGTTGACAAGACATGGCATGACATCATCAAGCCAACAAAAGAAGCAACTCCCTGCTCTTTCTTCTCTACTGGGACCCCAGCAAGAAGGGCCACTGCTGCAGCAGAAGCTATCTAATGCAGTATAATAGTATATAAATGCTAGCAAACAGGCAGCACATGAAATGAATGTTAATGTACCTGGGCCTAGCTAACATTAGCCAGCAGTGCAGGGTAAGCAAGACTGTTTAACTTTTGTCAATTTATGTGTAACATGTATTGATTAGATGTTACTCAGGAAGTTGTATTGTTGTGATCTCTTTGTAACCAGGTTATTGGGAAGTTGACTTGACTTTGCCCAAACTATGTTGATGTTAGTAAACTTATGCTTCACAGGGACCCAAGGTCTTGCATGCAACTAAACCTCTTTTGGTTAAAAACCTCCTGAACAATTAACACTTAAGGAATCCTGACTGGGAGTTCACACTTGACACATGGGAGAATTTTCATCTGGTGGCAATCTGTAGTCCGCACCACTAGATGCCACCAAATCCTACACACTGCCTCTTTAGGAATGTATTACAGTCATCTCTTCAATTAAGACTGCTTTTATATGTCAAATTGCATTGATGGAAAAACAAATAGTACATAATTAATGTATGTGCCCAAATACATGCTCCCTTTATCAGTACATTCAATATAGAGTTACCTTACCTGTGATGTAAGCCTGCTCGTGAGGATCGGTGATACTGAGCAGGGAGGCACCCTGCTGTTTGCAGCTGGCTTCAGCCTGGTCCTGAGTCAGAGCTGCTCCTGTGTTGAGCTGGTAATACGCTCCTGTTGTTGGGTGTTTTGTCCAGCCATCTTTAGCTATAAATGCATATACAAAACATGGTTATGTTATGTTTGCTACAAAGAATAAAATGCCCTCCCTGCAACCTAAAGCTGTATATTTCCATATTCATTAAATGACTGGGGTTGACTTAACTATGAAGCAGTGGTAGGTTCTAAATCAAATAATGTAATCTTGGTGCTTTTAAAGATAATTGTTCTTTCTGGCAGTATCAAAAATAGTGACTTTTGGGTAGACATTAACTATTGTCTATTATTGTCTATTTTTTTTATTATTATTTTTTTAATCTACATGATTTTACCTGAAGGTAGTTACATTGGCAATGACTGATTCTGAAAGCTTTCGTGGCTCATTCATTTTCAAACAGTATTTACTGGCACTGTAAATATGGCCTTCCACTGCAATATTAATAAACATAAGTTTTCACAGGTAGTACTCACAGGTAACTGGGCAGTAGCCCCAGCGTTCACTTTGATATTTGGTTTCAACAGCACACCAAAGAGTCTTTCCTGGAGAGTCAAGTGTGGTGCAGTCTGAGAACCACTGGTCTTTGTAGTGGAAGGGAAACATGCACGGCAGTCCAGCTGCATTTCCACCAATGGCAAAAAGTTCTAAGAGGTGACAAGAACAAAGCAGAGTAGTTACAGAAAATCTGTACCTACAGTAATTTATCTCTTTATGGTATATATGACAAACCAGTTCAAAACAAGATGCTGAATACTATTTTAAATGCAGGATAGAATTCTGAAAATGTGTTTAATGCTCATCACAATTCAAATGTAGACTTATGAAAATGTATGAGGTTTGGCATATGTTAAGTAGATTGCAATGCATGATAGCTGTTGACCAGTTTGACCTCCTTACATGTAAACAGATTTTTCTTTAATTTTTAATCTCTATATGATTAATCTATTTCAATCTCCAAAACTGTGGTCTCCATCATTCCATTTGAAATTATGTGAAAATGGTTATGATTTGTTGTTACCAGTGCAAGCCCTTCAAAACAACACTGTTTTATACTGTACCTCTATATGTTCTTGTACAAGCACCGTTGGGCGTCCCTGTAATTGTGAGGTGGTTATTGGGTCCTACTGTTTTGGAGAGAACTGCTGTGTTATCTGCAGTGAGCTCAATGTAGAGCTGCTGGTCTTTAAGGTCGAGCACTGTTCCATTCTTGCATTCCCACTTTTGGAGGTCGCTCTTTTCGTCACAATCATAGAGGCTTACTTCACTCCCCACACTTTTCCCCTGGACTCCCAGGCATTTCTTCCTTTGTAGAACCAGAAGTCGGTCACCAGTTGTCCAGCGTATGTCATTGCATTGGTTATTTGTTTTAACCAAACAAAAACCAGTGTCCTTGTTAGTCAGTTGAAATGGTGAATCTGTTGACAATGAATTACACACTTTTAAATATTTATTGCAGAAGAAATCAGAAAATCCTTCAAACAGCAGTTTGCACAGTCCGTCACTGGGGTTGTTTAAGTTGTGTCTAGCTAAATTTTTATGGCATTTCAACATTAACACAACCACATATTCTCGGAATAAACAGACATTTAATAAGCAAACAAAGTTAAATCTATCCCACTGCATTACAACCATCCTGTGTCTGCAAGAGGTAATACTGCAATCACCTTAATACTGTACTGTAGGGAATATACAAGAATATATTAAATGTAGATGACACACACCGACAGCACACACACTGACACAACAGTCTCACACAAAGAGTCAAGTGCACATATAGACAATCTCACAAAAAAAAAGAAAATGAAAATAAAGGTTAAAATACTGTACCATCTAGAGCCAAACAATGTAATGCTTGGATGAGTAGCACAAAGGCTTTCCAAGATTTCATTGTTAGTCTTCTTTTACAGTGTCCCACAACTGAAGACTTTATCCATGCATTTCTCACAGAGGACAAGAGTTGTGTGAATGATTACTGAAAGTCAGTCTTAATAGTAGTGGCACATCTTGTGATGTCATGCTCCCTCTTTTCTGTCTTCTTTTTTTTTTTTTTTTTTTTTTTTGTTAACCGGAACCCACATGCTGATATTTGCAACTTTGGCTGCTTCATTGTAAAACACATTGAATTCCCAAAATCTGTTACTACATAGATTTTGACCTGAGAAAAACATTTCAGATTTTTGATAGTGGTGGTTATGATTTATAGGGTTGAACATTAATGGTTCTTTATTCCAATTCTTTGAGGGGCAGGGTCAAAACAGGTCACCAGCTTGTTTCATTGAAAAAACTTTTACACAATTAATGTTCACAATTTGCTTAATAGTTTATGAACCTATTGATTAATATCATACAAACTGTATGATACTGTATGATACTGTATGGTTGCTGTTATTAGATAATATAATTCAATTAAAATCGGTTTATTTATTTTTTTATTCACTGTATAACTGTAAATGACATAGGGTTCTACATATGTCGCACCAGTAAGTACAACTTCATATATATTATTCATATATGTATGTATATATATATTTATATTTATATTTATATATATATATATATATATAAATATATAAATATATATATGCTCATTCTTGTAACTTTTTTCTCTTAAATGTATAGTTTTAGCTTCGTATTGTGTTGTTTGAATTTAAAATTGAATATATATATATATATATATATTCAATTTTAAATTGAATATATATAAAACTGCAATGGTTAGGTTATTCCTTTCTTAGGTCGTATTCTTGAATTTTATTTACATTTCTGAATAATTTGAACATGACTTCTTTGATTTTGACAACAGATGTAAAGACAGAGGAAGCAGATGTGTTACAAAATGTGGTTGGAGCAGCCAAGCACGATTCCCTCAGAGTCTAGAGGACATTGTGGTTGGCCGTTTGACCATTTCAGCGTCACTGGTTAAAGTCTTGTGTAATATTCCTAACAAGGAAGCGATCAAAATGCTGACTTCCTGGTGTTTTTATGTCTCCATAAGCAAATGCTGGAACTCAAGAACTGCCTGCGAGAAAGTTCCAAATGTTCTAAATCTTTTTTTGTGGTTAAATGATTTTTTAACATCAGTCGCTGTTACTGTTCTGTTTTTGTGAAATGGCTTATTAAAACACTTAGTGGTTACATTGTAGAACATGTCTTACCAGAAATAACTCAGTACTGTACTGTAAAAACAAAGAGTACTTAACAAAGATTGATACAAATGCAATAAGACTAGGCAAACAAACCCCAAGTTAACCTTGACAGAAGTAGGGCACCCAAAGATGGACAAATGCTTTGTCTCATATCATTTTGTACCACATAATAACAACAATAACAATGACAACTTTATTTATATAGTACTTTTTAAAACACAAGTTAGAAAGTGCTTTACAAAGACATAAACAAGAGAAATTGCCAGATGAATAATAAAAGTAGAACTGATACAATAATAATGACAAGCAAGGTATGAATTACACTGGGGGGTCCTCTGACCAAGGAATACCTAACAGACCTCTGCCCGAGGATCTCAGGCTGCATTAAGGCTTATAGGGTGTTAGTAAGTGACAAATTAAAAAGTTAATTTTAAAACATGGGTAGGCTTAACCACTGTAGACCAGCTAAAATAGGGGGTATGTGGATTTAATGAGTAGTCTTGCTGCAACATTTTGAACTAGTTGGAGTTTGGAGAAGTTGTATTGAGTAAGACAGGAATGCAATGAGTTACAATAGTCTAATACCCTTTATTCACCAAAATAAGCATGTGTATGCAGGTTTTTTGAAATGAGGAAAATCCGTTAAAACTAGGCAAATGACTGCTTTCCCATCTCATTAGGGCTTACATAGTCGCAAAATTTTCAATAGACTCCCTGTAAGGTAGGTGAAGTGGTACCAACCACTGTCACCCCCCCCCCCTCCCCCACCGCTTCAAGTGGATCAATCCATCGTGTAATGTCAGAGGTCAGCAGCGTGAACCTTTTTAGAGTGAAATGTTTAAAAAACTTGTGGGGGAGGGTTTGTGGTATGGCTGATAATATTGAAGAAGCATCTCAACTCTGTTGTTGAGTTCCTTTGTACTGGCTTATAGACAGCCTAATTTGGTAGACTGGACCCAATTGTTGAAAAAAATATGTATACTTTTTGAAAAGAATCTGATGTTCAAAGAGGAAGTGGCCTCTGTAAATCTGAGAAGTGAGCTGTGAGAACACTTGTGTTGAGTAAGAGGTCAAAAAGTGAACAGGTGAGTTTTGCTTGTACAATTTGCTTTGTAGACAAAGCAATTGAGCAACATGGAATTCAAACTGATTTGGTAATGTGTAGTGAATTGTTAAATTGTGTTGTGTGTTTCAGCACAATCTGGCCAAAACATTTTCTCCAAAGAATCCTTGGCCTCCTCCAATTACATCTCTTGCCTCTTTTTCTAAACTGAATAACATAAGTGTATTGCTTGTCTAAAGATTGCAAGCTGGACTCTGAATAGCAATTCAGATGCTTTTGTGGTCACTTTTGCTATTTTTATATGGGCAAGTGATATCTTAGGAGGTTACCAGAAGTTACGCTGGATAAGACTTAACTTTTCGCAGGATGAGATACAGTCATGACAATGATGTCTGTTATATTTATTATTTTGGTTAATGTTAATTAGACATTACAACTCTTGACTTTACACTGCAGTAAGTGTCAAAATACATAGCATTATCCTCACAGTTATAATAAAGTAATAAACAAAAAAGTGTAAAGAATACATCCCAGTTCATCTTACCAGTTAACCTGTTTTTAGTAATTACAAAATACAGTACATGATTACATATAAGTTCAAACTATCATTCCCAATGAACATTCTAAATTGCTTTGACCATCACTCATTGCCAACTCTATTGAAGCGTTGACTGTGATATCACTGGCCTTGCAAAAGAGTAAGCCACTAACCATGAGCCCTAGATAGAGCCTGTGTCCTATCAGATTCAATTACAACAAGGTCAGAGTTGTCTTCCTTTGCATTCTCAACTAGTATACTGGTGTCAGCCACATCAGGCGGTGGCTGCTCATTGTTGAAGAAGAGTGGGTTGTCAAAGGTGGTTAACATATCAGGGATGGGTACACGATGATTGAACTTTTTGCAGATGAAGAAGGCAACGATTACCCCCATGGCAAGCCCCATGACGACCACCACAGCCGCCAAAGCTATGTGACCACGTTGATGATGTTTAGCTGGTGCACAGATTGAAAAAGTAGATTATGATCAGCCAAAAAAAACAACACAGTTTTGTGCAAAATAGAGAAGGTAAAGAGGTGTTACTTACATCCTGGCAGTGATGATGGTAACTGTGTTGGTGGTAATACTAGAAAGAAAGAAGGGAAATGTGACAATTGTATACTAAAATTGGATTACACGATATTAGCTTGACAGTGGCTGAACCTGTCAGACAGGATCAGAAATGAGCGCTGGGCTTGACTTTGTATTTTCTGGTGTAATGGGTCATTGTGGAAGACAATCAGTGCAGCACATGAGAAGCCTCATGACGTCCAAACAGTCTTGTGAGAATTTTAACTTTTCTCACCTAATTTTAAAACTTGTATTACACTCTGTGACTAGGGCTGCGCGGTATATGCAGTAGATGGTAGAAATGATATAAATTTGGCCCACGGTAGAGATTTGCGCTCTACCGTCCTATCGTTGATGACGTCATCGCACCTGCCTCAGTGTGAAAATGGCTGCGAGCACAGAGACAGCGGAGCAAGAGGAGCTGGTTCACGTCTGTGATTTAGCGTAGCACATGCAACATGTGTTGCTGGAGAACTTGTGAGTGAGTGAGTTAATGTCTTATAAACAGCCCCGGACTTCTCAGACTCTTTTAGCAACTTACCGCTCAGAGTGAACTCATTCAGTGTCTCCTCTGGCAGCAGCACAGCGTCTCTCCCTCTCCTCTCTCGCCGTGCGCACACGGGAGTTGGTTTTCGGCAAGAGAGTTTGTCATAAACCTTTGGTAATGTAAACCTATGTGACGCTAGGGGCTCCACAAAAAACTCCATATGTGAATGTGTGATAGTTGTGGTATCATAGCAGCCTGTCACAGGTTACAGCGTGATGATTAGAGGAGAAATGGTAGAGCATAAAGGTCCAGGTGGAAAAAACACAACTCAGTCATTTAGGATTTTGCTAAAAGAAGGAAATTAACTTTTGATATAGATCCCAGGGGACATTTTGCACCATAGAGTACTGGGTTTTAATTTTGAGTTTTGAGATCTGCATTCTGCACAATAAATGCTCTAAAAATTACATTATATCTTTGCTTTTGTTGTTGTTTTTTAATCAATTTAGCTTTGCTAAGGGACTACAAAACCCATTCAGAAACACTTCTATTATAACTTTTACACTTAAATTTATACTGCGATATAGACTGTTACCGTGAAGGGATTCGATTTATACCGTGATATGAATTTTAGGTCATACCGCCCAGCCCTATCTGTGACATTAGCCAGTGGGATGACTGAGCACTTTTAAGTGCACAACTGTAAACGTGACATAGTGAAAGAAGAATGCGCACCCATAAATGTTGCACTCACCTTGTGTCTACCAAGGCACAAGACAGAGCCTGCCTTCCTTTTCTGAGTAACAATTAATTGTTCCAGGTTGACTTTTATTCATAAAACCATGATTACAACATTTATTTTCAGTGCTGTTTGTTGTCTGCACATTTCCCTTAACTAATATACTTCCCTCGAGTCTTTAAAGACTGAATGCTATGGTAAGTCAGGCCCCAACATGTAGTGTGCCATGTCTCTCAGCCAAGCTATGGCAAGAATTTATGATCGTATAATCATCTAAACTCACACAGCCCGTTATTTCAAAAGACAAAAAATATTATGTAGTCAGATGTTGGAATTGTTGAAAAAAGCAAACAAAAAAAAACAAACATTAATACGAGTGCAATTGAGTCCATGTAAGAAGAATTATTTACCTTTGGGTGTTTTGCAGATGTATGGTCTACGATAATTCTCAGTGCCTGTACTCCATGTCCCATCCAAGGTACTAAGGCCTCCATGGCTGCGATAACCAGGTTCCTCTTCAGCCCAGTTAGTGTAGTCCATGACTGTTCTGTCCAACCACAACCACTCCCCTGGAGAAGAATAGATTTTTATAGATTTTTTTGTTTGTTTTATTTAATCCTTCTTTTTTACTCTGCAGAAAACAATAGCCACACTTTGTGAACAATAAATGAATTATTAGAAAGGATAATTTAAAGAATAATTATTTTAAAACCATTGCATTTTTGTTTTCCAAAATAACCTTAGACTAGTCCATAACCATTGAGTACAGGATACCATATCATGACTTAGTCATACCAAAAATTATAAAAAAAAAAACAAAACAAAACCCAAACATTTGGCCACAGGGGGAGCCACAGTGATCAGTCGCATTTTAGCCATTTTTAAGCATTTTTCTGTTGTTATAGCGCCACCCAGTTGCCAATTAGAGTTAAATTTCTCCAGTTACCTTGAGGCGTCCTGTTCTACATATCTACCAAGTTTAGTAAAAATCGATATGACGGTTAGGCCTAGATAAGAAATTAGCTCTCTAGCGCCCCCATTTTGTTTGATTGGGTCAATAATGGAGGGGTCCCCTCAGATTATGTGTGGTCATATGCCTACAAAGTTGCGTGGTGATTGGTGAAACCCTCGAGATATTATACACCTTTATGTGATGAGCCACGCCCTCCGCAATATTCATTGCCTTATAGAAGCTCAGTTTTAGTAAGTTTTCCAACTTTTGCCAAGAGGGAACTTTAGATATTGGTCCCTAGATTACGTTCACTGAGTTTCATACAGATCGGTCAAACTTCCTAGGAAGAGATCGATTTTAAGTGTTTTTCAAAAAATTCAGAATGGCAGAAAATCTGTATCACCCGAAGTTATGGGTTCTTGAGGCAAATTTGTTCCTCATGAGGAGAGGCACCTCTGTGCAAAGTTTGGGCATGAGATATGCCCATTCAAAGTTTGCAATTTCAATCGGTTGTTATAGCGCCCCCCTTTGGCCAATTGATGTAATATTGCTTCATTCGCTCCTCCCATGACCCTCTACCACTGTGCCAAATTTCACATGGATTGACCAAGTCAGTGAGGAGAAAAATGTGGAACAGACACACAGACAGACAGACCCACATACCCACAGACAGAGTTTTCGTCATTATATAGTAAGATATATGTTGTTTATTTAGTTGTTCACCAAGCATAATAATTAAATGTTACTTTCCATGAAAGCACAATGTGACTGTACCTTTGAGAGTTTTAAACAGGCCGATCCAGAAGTTTCTGTAGCTGTCTTTAAATATATTTGCATTGTTCTTAATGAATTCTTGCTCAGAGGGATCTTCAATACTGGCTAGTAATCCACCTTCACAAAACAAAGGACAAGTCCTTACTTAAAGATACATGCATTATAGTGCCCAAAAATATCTTAGACCATCCACAAAATGGACTTACCATGTCTGCTACAGCTTACAGCTGCATCTGGCCAATTTCTTTTGTCTGTGAAAAATATGTAACAGTAACCCTTAAATGGTAGCCAGGTGTATATCTTGTCTGTGTTTGTTTCATCTGGGTCTTCAGGGCAAATTCCAGGAAAATCAGTGATGTCTGTCGGTGGCACGTCTGTGAATGAGCAAGACAGTGATGACAATGGGATCAACTAATTAGATTGTTTCAAATCCAGTGCATTGAAATAGGCACTTCTATTATTTTATAAAAGAAAAGTGTCACATCTAAAAGCATACAAAGGTAAAAGTGTGTAACCCATTAATTTATCATTCTGAACAGAGATAAAATTTTAACTTAAAACCATCTGATACTTAAAAAAATGATCCAAACAGATGAGCATAGGACGTGTTTTGACATTTAAGGGATAATGTCTTAGTTCAGACATGTTGGTATATAGAATAAGTTGCACATTCAGTTATTCACATAAACATTAGTCTGTGATTTGACATACCTGTAGACTTCATACAAACACTATTCATGGTCTGCATGCAGTCACTAGTCTTCCATTTTCCATCCACATCCACGTAGACACAAGATCGATTCCTGCTTGGTTCATTTTCACCCCACTGAGAAAGGCTCATGTGCCAGCCATCAATATATCTGAAATACCCATTGGTCTGAAAGCAAAGATTGATCAGACTGCATTCAGCTTTATTATTCAGCTTCAAATAATGTGCAATCTGATTTTTTACAGCAATGTACGGTGAACATTTTTAGCAATTTTAGCAGCATGGCTGTATAAACTGAAGTCTACCACTGTGGTCCAGACTGAAATATTGCATCAACTATTGGACAAATTGTAATAAAATTTGGTGCACCCATTCATGGTTTTCAGAGCAGGAATTCTACTTATTTTGGTAATCCTCTGACTCCTCTTGTGTCATGGTTGACATTTGTGATTTTGAGTCAAATGTCAACTGTCACAGTGGATGGATTGCAATTAAATTTTGTACAGATATTCATGTTCCCCACAGAATGAACTGCAGAAACTTTGCAGATCCTATCATGTTGACATTACCTGTAAACTCTTAGTTTAGAGAGTCTAAAAATACTGATTACTACGTTTCTTCTACGTTTCTTTTTCTTTCTGTCTTACAATGAGCTTGTCCTCAACATTGCTGAGATGCTTTTTGAAGTTTTGAGATGCTTTCTCCTGTATTAGTTGGCACGTATGGATCTGATTCAAGGTAAATTGATGCCGCCTCATGAGGAGTTTTTGCTGCTAGTCACAGACAAATGCATTTTCAAAATTATAAATAAGTTACAAGCAGAAGCTAGCTATATTACTTAGCTATGTGCTATTTTAGAGGCTTTTAGAACTGTACCTTTGCTTTGTTCAGTCCAATCCACAAAGGGGCTTTGAGAGTCAAGGCCAGCAGCTCAGCATAGGTCTGTGTCCACTTGTTTCGTAGGCTAGCCAGTCTGGCACCATCACCTTCACAGTGCTTCATGGCTCCGTCCCAGTTCATTTTTTGACTAACAACCTTGATAGAGTCATTTAATATTTTGACATAATCAGAAGAGGTTGTCGGTTCAGGGGAGTCTGGGAGAGATGGGTCTGTTTAGGGTGAGAAATAAGGTTAATTCAGTTTTTCCATTCATCTTAAAGGCGATCTGTGCTTTTCCTTATTTTACATTATACACACATCCATCACTTACAGAGTAACATTAGCTTTCATTTGAAGTCGTGTGTCTGTCTAGCTGGAAAATGCAAGTCTAATGTTCACTGTCTCTTAACTTTGTTTTTGGTCTGTTATCTGGCTCTCCAGATGCTAAATGCTCTATTATGTTCGCCAGTTAGTTGCTATCTTTGTCTTTCTGCTGTTTGAATAGTATGGGTAGATGGTGGTAGTAGTGAGTAGATGGTGAACCAAAACAGTGAATTTACAGACCAGACAGCTAAAGAACGACCTTAAACTCAATGTGACACTTCATAATGCAGAGAAGACACAGATTCAGGATATAATTATCTGTAGGTTCATCACTGCGAACAACCCCTTTCACATTGTCACATTGCTTTGTCATTTAATACATGTAAGAATATTGGTTACAGATGCTTTAAGAAATATGAAATGAATATTGTAAGAAAATATGCCAATCCTTTTAGACCACATTATCAAAGAGAAAGATCAGAAGATGGGCTCACCAACATTTCGACGACAGACAAATCCAGTGGTGTCATTGCAAGACTTTGGTATCCATGTCCCAATGCCATGGGCAGGGTTTGTATTTATCACAGCACACTTAAACTGGGAAGGCACGGAAAGAATATGGTGAGGAACAGACAACTGTGTCAGGATTTAATGTAAAAAGAGAGGCAGGGAGGGGGGTTAAAAACATACCTCTCTTTGTCTCCTGAGTAATTCAAAATATCTTTGATAATCCATGTATTCCTGCAATGTAAACATATTTCAAATTTTATAAATACTCAAAAAGTATGGTAATAAATTATAGAAATGTATTGACTCTTCGGATCACTCTTTGGATCACACCCCAATTTAGAAGTCATGGTTTAGTTTGGTTCTAGTTTGGGGGTAGGGATTAGAGGGGGTAAAAAACAAATGCATAAGAATATGTGTCTTTTTATTTATTTTAAGCAGAGAGTAGTGCAAGTGTCAAAGACAGACAAAATCCTCTTGCTGGGGACTGAGGTAACATTTCGCCCACATGCAAGTTTGGTAAACTATTCTTATAATGAAGGGATATTTCAAATGCTTGTATATTGCACTCTACAAATTCAACCACTTCCTCAAAAAGCAACAGGTCACAACAGGCTCTAAAACTAAAAAGCATCTATTATTCTAATAACATAACATAAATAGAATGTGTCCTAGCATGCTATATGCTTTCCATTAATATACCCTATAACAGTGCAGCAAAGCTGACATACGGTCCTCATCCTTTACACAACTCTTGCTCTGTTGTGGCTGACCAGGAACCCGTAGGTGGGTCTCCCAGCTCCAGCATTTCATTTGTGCTCATGGTAGGGTGACTTACTCGTATGCCAATCGTCTTGTTGCGCTAACCTCAGCAAATGATCCTAGCAGTATACAGCTTAAAGTTAACACTTGCACACTTTGGTTCTGCATTACGTGCATTAGTCTACATATGGTGTATTCTGCATGCAGCTGCATGTATTGAAGTGTAACCCCCTTACTGTGACAGATATGCACAAATACCTGAGCCATTACAGCCCTACTCTTCAGAATAGTGAATATACTGTAGATTGTGTCTACTTTATGCATACCACATTCTTGTACACAGAAATTTAAACACTTTACCCACGGTCTTTCCCAAAAATAGGCTAGACTGTTGCGTCTCTAAAATGGAGAAAAAGACAAGGGAGAAAGACAGTGTCACATTTTTAAACACCCACAAATTATCAGGAGTGGTGCACACAACCGAGTTGCACACCTATCACATCATAAAATACCATTTAGATTCACTTCACTTACTTCAAATTCCAAGTTGACATATCTCCTTGGTTGCCCATCAGTCCAATAAAATCCAGTTGAAACTGAACTGCGAAAACCAATCCAAAGGTCTGTCGTGGGTGTTTCAACCATTTGAGTCGTCAAAAACACTGAAAATTTAACATAACAATGATTCAAGAGTCACATTTGCTTGGAAGTTTTGTCCCCCCTCCAGTTTAACATATATATAAAACACAACATATGTAGACTGTTTGGCTCTATACTTTTGGAAGTGCACTGTATAGTACCACTGGTTCATGCATGTAGGTCTACTATACTCTGCAAACTGAAAACAAATCAGTGACGTTCACAGTTAGTCTCATTAGCAAGAGCATAGAACTCTGGCAAAGGATTTGGCTCGTTCTGATCAGTTTAGTTTTGTACTCTAGAGGTTGCTAGCAGAGCTTGACATTTGTCTTACATTGTATAAACATCAGTTACTTGATTATTTTTAAACTCTAGTAATATGGTGATAATTGAGCCTACAGCCTCTCAACCGCCATTAATCCCTCAATTTAATTCAGTAGTCACATACACAAGACATACAAAACAAATAAGTAACCAGTGTAGTCTTTGCTACACTATCTTTGTTGCCTGCCATCTCAGGGTGCTGCAATAAATGTAGCTGTCCACGTAACCATGAACAGGAGAAGAGGTTAAGAAGATTGGTGGATCATTTACCAGAAAACAAAACAAAAAAAGGAGACAAACCTGCCACGTGTCTTGAGGGAATAGAGGCCAAGTTTCCACCCATGGCTTTGCATTGTTTTCTCGCTGCATCCCATGTTAATTTCTGATCGGTAATGAGGCTGTAACACTAAAGTAGAGGTGAAGAACGTTAGGTTGATACAGTCATTTAAAAATTGTCCTGGTTAGTACATTAATCCCAATTTCACGACATGACAAAACATCTAAAAATGCATAATCTAAAAGATCTCTGTGTAAAGGTCCAGTGTGTAGGATTTGGGGGGATATATTGGCAGAAATTGAATATAATATTCATAACTATGTTTTAATAGTGTAAGCAGAGAAAAAGAATCATTGTGTTCTTGTTGTCTCAGTTGTGAGACATGAACCATTTATATCTAGACATGAGCTGTTTATATCTACATACAGAGTGGGTCCTCTTTCGCAGAGTCCACCATGTTATACAGTAGCCCAGGATAGACAAACCAAACGCTGGCTCTAAACAGGGCCATTTGCATTTTTGCCTAGGCTACCGTAGACCTCCTACATGCTTGGCACACGGGAGAAGTTTCAGTTGGTTCCAATCTGCACCCTCACTGCTAGATGCCACTAAATCCTCCAAACTAGACCTTTAAAAACATTGTCTGTTAAACCAAAGGCCAATGTCATTGTAAGTACTGATAATTATTTATGTCCTGAATCAGATTTCTTTCCATTCATTCAACACACACACACGTTAAAGGCTAAAAGTGACCTCTGACCTTGGAGTTAAATTTTTTCCAGTTGGGTGGGCAGCCACCTTTAGGGGCCTCTGTGGGTGCCACAGTGGCGTTGGTTGTTGGTGAGCCAGTGCTGCGTTTACAAATGGACATGTGCTCATGCCCACAATTATAATCATGCCAGAATCCTGTGAAACAAACCGAGACATGAAAATGAACACTTTAGCCAATACTATTTACTTTTTATTTTTCATTTAACATCAAATGTGGGTTCAGAGTTGTAATTCTTAAGATTTTGTCTGTAGTGCAGTTTAATCTCGGCTGATTCACATTAAAAGCATTCAACCGACAAAACAGTTAATAGCTTTTATTGTGAAGCATGCAGCAAATACAACATATTATTTGTCACTGTGATTATCTCTTACGCAATCATTCATCAAAAGCATGTCTACAAAAAACATGGCAACAGCCATTTTTAGCTTCTTTTTTTATCAGCACAACAATTGTAATTTTTGGAAGTCATTAATGGGAAAAGAAGGCAGCCATGGTGAGCTGTTTGATAAAGAGCCACAGACAACAGGCCTCCAACTCCTCAGCAATGTAGCCAGTTTTACTTATGTTGTGTGGAACACTACTCACACTGTGCATTCGGATCAAGGTTGCATCTATTTGTGATTGGCTTCTTTATTAAAACAAGGGGAAGTTGTTTGGCTGTGCTGTAAAAAGATACACCACTTCCCTTCTGTCAGCTGCTCAACAAGTGTTTGCTGTAGTAACTGCACATGATGTTATTATGCAAGGTGTCGCCAAATCAATCAGGACTGAAATCTTAAGGATTAGAACTTCTAATTCTTTAATCATTCATTTGCATGAATGCCAGTGAAGGTGAATCATGTGTCAGTTTACTCACCATTATGATAATGCATGGCAACACACTGCTCATCATAATTCTTGAAATCAGGCTGACCTTCATCCCATCTTTGATACACCATTTGAGAACCATCCATCCAACTTAATGTAAAGCAAACAAATCCGTTAAAATTTTGTTTCAAAAATAGTCATTGTGAAAATATATTACTAGCATAATGACATACTGATTCGAGCCTAAAGGCTGGAACTGTATTATGTTTGTTTGTCCTCCAGGCTAAAATGTCACAAACAAAATAAAGAGCAATGACATCCCATACTGTTTAGAATGAAAGCCTTTTCCATTGGATCTTTCATAAAATACATATCTTGGCATGGCACCGTCTTACTTTTATTTTAATATTGATCTTTTTTGTCAAGTTTTTTATTGAGTCTTTACTTCCATTGATTCTTGAAATGTACACAGGACTGAGAATATCTGTTTTTTTGGATTTATCCTAGTTTGATATTGACTTACTCAGGGTTTTGACAATGTAGGGTCTTAAATTGTGGTGCACACAAATTTGAAATGAAAGGAAATCCCTGTGCACCTGATGCTACGGCAACCAACTAAAATGCATACAGTATTTCTGAAGGACACCTAAAACTGCCTGAGTTCGGATCTGCATCATGGCACTTCTATCCATCAGGCCAACCTTGCAACAAGACCTATTTTTCAAATTCAGTAATAAAGTTACAGATATTTTATCAACATATTTTTAGCTGGTGATGTAACCTATGTTTTAGAAATTTCATACATCAAACTATGTAATTTTTCTTGGGAATTCTTTTTTTATTTATTTGTCTTAATTTCATTTGAATAATTTTCCCCCAACTTTTTCAGTTTTTTTGCATTTAATTCATACTCACGCAAATGCTCCATTTAGGTCTACCTTCAGGCCTATCCAGTAAGTACTATAACTTCTGGATATCTACACAGAGACAGGGGAACAAGTCAAAAGCAACAATTATTTAGTTTGTGCAGAAATTAAATCCCATGATTATTGTATTTGATTGGTCATTGCTGTGATTGTGTAATGATGTTTAAATATCACTGCTTACCTGTTTCCATAAAAATACACTCTCAGATTCACTGCCAATAGATACCAGGTCACCATGCTTCTGTTGGCAGAATCGGCGAGCATCTTCCATGGCCATTCCCTTGCTGTTAATATAATACTGAGTCCCATTTAGTTCTAGCCACCCATCTGCTGTCTTATTGTGGTCTGAAACATGTCAGAAAGATGTTATATAGCTTCAATATACGTGCAAATTCCGATTTTTCTATTCCTGTTGCTTTCTGTATGATGTCTGATGGCAGATTAAAATGTAAATGCATGCAGCAAATAAGGTTCACTCCATAGACAAGGAACAGCTGCAGCAGGGTAATGTCACAGAGCCCTCATGCTTCGAAGTACAAAGGAAGTACTCTTACATAATAACCCATATATGACTGTTACAAGAACAATTCATATGCGTTTTGTGGAATGCCACCTGTATAGTTAAGGTATGGCTAGATTTAGGCAACTAAAAGTACTTGGTTAATGTCAGGAGAGATTGGTTAAAAGACTGGGAATCACTGAACAGCTTCCATGTGAACTGTCAAACTATTCACAGTGATATCTGCTGATTCTTTAAGTGCATGAGAAATTGTTGTTTGAGGGACACATTGTTGATGATTTTTTAGGTTTTTAAGTTAAGTTTTCAATTTTTCCAACCCAGTTGTCAGAAAAAATGTTCACATTGTACATTTCTGCAAACCATGACTACAATTTGTACATTATTTTGTGGCTGATACGTTGAAACTTTAGATTTCTTAAAAACGCTGTGGTAAGGTTGTAGTTATGTTTAGGCACAAAAAACACTTGGTTATGGTTTATAAAAGTCATGTTTAGGCTTAAACCTACCGTGGTGGCACAAAAGCTACTAGAAAAGCAGGGACAGATCAGTGAAATACACTCAGGTTATTTGCCATGAACACAGATGTGAAATGCTGCAAATGGTCACCAGATTACAACCAGTGTTGGTGTTTGTTGATTTCAAACAGTGGTCTGTAGACTGATTGCCATCTTGCCGAGGTGACAAACCTTCAAACATCCCTTCCACCTCTTGATGACAAAATCAGCATACTTATTATGTTATTTCAGAAAACTTGATATTATACATATAAAACTTAAAATCTAATGTATTTGTGGTTTGCAGAAATGTACACTGCAAACATTGTCTTCGGGCAACTGGACTGGAACATGACATACGAAACTGCTCTCACATTTCACTTGAGTGGCGGCACAAATCTCAGAGAGCAATATCTTTACTAGAGGTAATTAAGAAAATATGTTTTTGATAAACCAATCCTTCACTGTTATGAAAGTCCTCTATAAATTAAAATGATCATAGAACAGAAACGGTACTATAAAAGTCAGAGAGGCAGCAAAATATAAGATGGGATATGATGGAAGTGAAATGAAAGTGGAAAAACTGAAAAGCTTTTTTGAATTGGGACTCCATTAAAGGAAAGAAAAGAGAAATAACATTTATTTCAACTTCATCTAAGTATTTGGGCAAAAAATTGTGTTAAATGTATTAATATGTTTGATATTTTTAAGCGTTTTAAGTGTTTCAGTATCAAGTACTACGACTGACTAGCTAAATAGCTCATTCAGCAAGACAAAGTGCAACACAAGATGTGTCGCTTGTTGATAAGAAGGAGACATTAGCAATAAAGTTCAATGGCTTTGTGTTTCAGGCTGCTGTTTGGTTGTTAGTCAGGGTCACCATCAGCCAATAACAGAATGATGATGGTTACTTCTTTATACTTAAATTTCCTTTTGGGCACTGAAGGACATGAAATTTACTGATTGTATCCATATGATGAAGCAGAAAAATGAGAGCATATTCCTATGTGGTTGCATCCATAATGGCTCACTTACCAGGAATGACAGGCTCTGGAGGTGGCTTTGGAGTTGCTCCTGCATGGACATTGATAAATATGTTTCAGAATAGAGTATTAACTGCATACACCTGAACACCTGAGAGAAAGACAGTGCTGAAAAAAGTAACCTTGCTCACTCGATTCTCAACAAATGCCACAAAAGAATTACACACTTTTCCTTGGAATCCATGTAACCAAATGACCACTCTTTACCTGCACGGATCTGACACAGCCATTTATTGTACTTCTCACACTGTACATCATTCCAGGACCCACTCCAAGTTTGCTCATATAGACTGAATTCAGCACAAGCTTCCACATTGTTTTTATTGTTTGGCTCTCCTTCTTTCCAGTGTTGGAAGTTTACCTGCAAACAAAAGCAAATGATTGAACATACAGAGATAAATGGAGTGATTTCCATTTAATTGAATGAAACTCAAATTAATGTACTCATCCCCTATAGAAAGAGAAACCTGTTAACTCACCGGGGATCCATCGGTCCATATATAACCGGTGGCTGGGTCCGGGGCATTAAGTCCAATCCACGCATTTCCATCATACCTGTATGATGGACCAACTTATATTAATGATTTATGTGCAACCTGTGTAAAATGTTTTAAGAATACACTTTTGCCTAATTTCATAGTTACGTGATGATGCACTGTCCCAGTTCTGTACTAGCCAGTCTTTATCTTGTGCTACCAGTTCTGTGCTTTTATGAATCCTTGAATCTTAATTTTGTAATGGGCTGTTTAGTATACCTTAACAAGATTTTCTGCCAATGATCATGCTTATCACCTGATATCATATTTGACAAAAGAGGGATTTTACAGCATCCCCAAAGAATGACAGTGGTCTCCTTTTTAATGCAATGGGAAGATTTTGTCAATTGCAGCCCTAATTGTATGAAACCAGGTTGTACTGTACCGATGTCCAACTATTAGCTCAAGTCTGTTGTGGATGCTGAGCAGGTCTCCTCCAATGGCCTTGCAGTAATCTTTGGCCTCATACCAGGTCTTCCAGTCTGACCTTGACTCTGGAAAAAGCTTAAACAAAAGGCAAGAAGTTCAACTATGATTAAAGGTTTGGTAGTTTCACTGTACCCTGAGCCTGATGCAGGAATACGTATTTTATTGCCTCCAAAGACACAACTACATACAGAGGTTGATGAGGTGCACTGTGGTTGTGTTTAGTTGTGTGTTAGGTATTTTCTTTCAGTGTGTGCATGACAGAGCTTCACATGGGTATGATTTAAGGCTGTCACTTGTTTTTTATTTTTGATTAATGTTTGTGTATTTTATTGTATAATCAATTTTTGGTGAATCATCATCATTTCCTAAAGTCAGTGTTGACATTTTAAACAGCTTGGTCTGTCAGACCAACTCTTGCCTAACCAAACAATAACAAATGCTAAAGGTACCGGGTTTACAATCCCAGAAGACTGAGAATGGCAAAACTCATGTTTGACAAGCGGCAATATGATGTATAGCAGCAAGATTAATTTTCTGTTGATTAAGTAATCAGTTAACCAGCTAATCATCAAGACAGGTGTGTGTGTGTGTGTGTGTGTGTGTGTGTGTGTGTGTGTGTGTGTGTGTGTGATCTGTTAGAATAACCCCCACAGTAAGTGTGGGTCCCTCATCTCTCAGTACAGAGCTACACTTGTCATTGTCTGTGCTTTGTCATGGTGATGGTGTTACTGTTTGGAGTTGATAGGGTGGACAGCAGTATTGTAATTAAAAGCACCTCAACCGAGACCAAGTCGTGACCAAGACCAGAGTACTATGGAGACCCAGACAAGGCCAAGACTTTGAGGAGCTGAGACCGAGAAAAGACCAAGACGAGACCCGTGTGCGTCTCACACTGCTTGGCACACTTATGATAACATGTGGAACATCCCATTCATAGGCACTCCTTAAAGTGATCTGAATGATCCACATTCCCATAAAGCCACCCACAGAAAATATGTGTACATGCCTCTTCTTTGAGCTCTTTTATTGCCATACTGTATACATGTGTGTACCTACAAGAGTACCATGAAAATGTCTTGATAAAATAATCAAAAGGCATTACAGAGGTGAATTTTATGTGTGGGGAATTTCGAAGTCAATGTAACCATCTTTATTCAACACTAATTTATTGCGCAGGCAATTTAGTGATATCCCAACAGTTGGAGTCTTGACCAGTCTTGAAATAAAATCGTGAGTTGTTTTTGTCAGAGACTGGGACAAGACCGAGTATAAATGCAGTTGAGTCTGAGATGAGACCTTCAAAGTGGTCTTAGGACCAGTCTCGAATACTACAACACTGGTAGGCAGCAAGTCCCATTAATATTGTCATCTCCTGTTATTTTATTTTGTGAGGTGACTGATTGTGATTTTAATTTTTTTTCTTTTCGATTATATCCGCTACCACACCAGCTGCATGTTGCACTTGCTCACCCCAATCATTTGAAAATTTTTAAGTAAAACAGAAGCTAATAATATATTTTTCAAAAAATAGTCTCAGGCTTAAGAATTCTTAAAATTCTAAGTCTCAGGCTTAAGAATTTTAATTTCTCATAGGTGTGAATGTGTGTGCGAATGGTTGTCTGTCTTTATATGTCAGCCCTGTGATAGGTTGGCGACCTGTCCAGGGTTTACCCTGATTCTCGCTCAGTGTCATCTAGTCTCTAGCCTCCCACAACCTTTTAAGAAGATAAGCAGTTACATGTCATGTTGCACCTTAACCAGCCTGTGATAGAGCATAATTTTGTGTATTGGTGAGGAAAACCTTCAGTCGAAACTTTTACTAAACTCTTTAAGCTCACTTGGAGCACAAGTTCAAACACAGAAGTCAGTTTGCAAATACATAAGGAATTCAGGTGTATATGTTTCACTCATGTTAAGCGGTGTTGGATTTTACCTTATAGCAGAAGTTTCTTGTTGGTATTCGAGTCCAGCCGTCGGCACACTTGGGAGGAGGAACCGTTGGTGGTACATGGGTTGCAACTGCCCCCTCTGCCAGGTGTTTGCAGATGTATTTCTCCTTTTTGGTGCAGGGCAGCACATCCCAGAGGCCAGCAAAAACTCCAGTTGTCATGGCAACACAGCCCTGTTGCTGACCTTGCATTGTCGGGGGAGAAATTGTAAACTGTCAAGTGTGAAGCCACTTTTGGCTTTTTTTTTTTTTTACAGTAGGCTAGAGTTAAAAATCTTAAGATACCTGGCATTCCAGTGTTCCAGTGAGTGAACCTCACTGACTCTGTGTTGGTCCACAAAAAGTAATCAATGTGTCTCTGGTTTGAGAGGCCTAGCCAGAAGTATTTCTCTGGTCTCATCCCCACCAAGCTAACAAGGAAGGCATTATCCACCCTGAAAAAATTTACACAATTCAGATTTCAGGAATTCTTTTAACCTTGAATGATGTACAGTATCAAAGACTTTTGTTTGAGTTTTGTTTGCAAGCTCTAAAAAACCCCCTTTGCATCTAAGCTTCCAAAGTCTAGGTTGCTCAATTTCAGTATGTTCAAAAATATTTGGAGTCAAAATAATTGTTTTTACCCATTTGACACATCAGCTAAGTAGGAATCTGAGGCCTTGCAGTCATCCTTGGCTTCATCAAACGTCTTTGTCTGTGTTCCTACAAAGTAGCAATAGGAGCCATGTTTTTTCCACCCCTGAATTTTTGGAAAGCAAAAAAGAGGTTAAATATCATTAAGTTGTTGTCCTTATTTAGGGTTATTAATACACTTGCACAAAACAAAAGCTAAACAAAACAAAATGACCATAATATATCCTCAGGGATCTTACAGGGCTGCTTATTAATTTCACTGATTATTTCATGTTGAGAGATCTTCATTTTACATTAAGTATTTTCTTATTTGTCAAAAGCTTCTTACCCAGTGTGTATTCATGAGACTACATTTAGCATGGCTTAACCTCGCTGTTTAACAATCCAGTAATTTAAATATCAAGAAGGCATTTTAGCATGATTTGTTGCATTATTCAGTATTATGTAATGTGCATACAAGACATTTCTCCTGCATCTGCTGATCTTGTTTAAATTGTGTCCCTTTATGAATTACAGGCTAGATTGAAGCTATGAGAAGTAGAGGTTGGGTTGTGAAGCTGTCGCTTAATATCAGCAGTTACATTACTTTCAAATGAATATTGTCCTTTCTCAACAACTTTGGCAAAATGCAGTATAAAAGAAACAAGACCAAGAGTGTAATCAAGCATTTGTATCCAACTTTCTGTACTTGACTGCTAATGCTTCCTCCAGTGGACACAAATTGACCATCAGAAAGTTTTAGTTACAGTACCCAGCCCTGTATGGTAACACCTTAGGGTTTAAGTTAAGTTGAGAAGAAGTAAAGTTCACGCACGGTTTTGCAGCCAATATTCAGGTCCACTTCATCTCCAGAGGGTTCAGAGGCACTCGTCTTCATACAAATGAAACCATGTTTCTCGTTGCACGCGCGGTCAGCCCAGTTCCCATTCTGACACAAACAAACATGGTAAAATGTTTATCTATGTGTCGTCAAACAAAAAAACAAGCCCATCATCTTGAAGGTGTATAAATCTATTAGCACAGATACATAGACATACAGTACACAAAATTTATATTAAACTAAGCAAATATGTAGACACTCAAACATTACACCCATTTGTGATTGTTTAACATCTTATTCCAGAATCACAGATATTAAAATGCTACTATAAAAGCCTTCACTCGCAACAGTAATTTTGACCCATTCAGCTACAAGAGCATTCAGCTGGCTTGCATTCTGTGCTTTAATTTAATGGATCTGAGGTCAGGGCTTTGTGCAGGCATGTTGGACAAGTTCTTCAACACCAAATTCAGGAAAATCATGCTTTTTTTCTTGTCGTGTACACAAGGACGTTATGGTGTTGAAACAGGAAACAGCCCTACCCAGACTGTTGCCACATAGTTGGAAGCTCTTGTAAAATATCATTGTATGCTGTAGCATTTCCCTTGATTGGAACTAAAGGGCCTATCTCAAAACAGCCCTGGAGAAAAAATACGCAAAAGTGTGTGTGCTGAAGTTTCCATATGCCATAAGTGTGATACACTGCTGCATACTTAACTGGTTTGCTTTGAAGCAGGTTAGTTTTCATCATTGGACTAATAATGATATTTTACAAGAGGCTAGGATATGTACCATAGCCACATAGTGCTCCTTACCTCTCCCCTGATGAGAACACAGTCTTCGTTGTCAGTAAAGATAGCAGGTTTTCCAGATTCCCAGCTGGTGAAGCTGACAGTAGAGTGGTCACTCCAGTCAAATAGACGCTCTGTCTTCCTGTCATTCAGTCCAATCCAAAGTTCATCTGTGGATGCTGCAGACATGGACAGAAAAAAGAGAGAACTTTCCCTCATCTGCCTCTTATGTCTTTATTGTGGAGCTCTGCTTAACTTGTTATACTTGTCCAATATTTTGTGTGTCAGTTGTAGACTATCGTCAACCATCATTGTGACTAGGGCTGCACGATTAATCGTAATAAAATCGTGATCTCAATTCATATGCATATGAGATCTAATTTTTCAATGACGGCGATTCTGCTGCCCCGCCCGTGCCGGGAGTCGGGACATCATCTGCATGAAAACAAGGCTCCCAACGACGCAGCGTTATACCACGTGATGCAGAGCGACAGCCGGCCGGCAGTTTGGAAAGCAGCGAGAGGGGGGAAACACACTGCTCACTGTAGCCTCAGAAGATTTATTAATTTTCTGTAGCAGTAAACATATGGGCCGATAACAGATGTGTTAACTAACTATGCTAAAGCTTTACAAACTATTCAGGGCTGCCGACGATAACATTAACATGACGAACAGCAAGGCTACAGCAAGTTAACGTACTGACACTCCTCAGACAGACACACACACACACATACCGGACAGCCTCTCAGTCCTTAGCTGCTAACGTTAGCTCATGTACAACACAGGTACCACACAAAAACTTTTACAAAGGGTCATAATGTGCTTCTAGTGACTGTCAAATCGCCAGCGAAAGTTGTTTACACTGCGGACACGGAGAACAGCTGCCTGCTCTCATGGGACAAAGATCCTCTTCGAAGAAAGACGGATCACTCTGCTCTGCCGCCAGGAACAAAGTGGGAGGCAAAGATCCTCTCTGAGGAAGAGGGTTCACTTTGCTGCAGGGTTCACCAGAACGTTTTTTTTTTGTTGTTTTTTTGTTGTTTTTTTTTATCCTGTAGTGAATTAATACATATAATACAATATGATAAACATCGTCAAAATGAATGAAGGAAGAGGATTTTTTAAAGGCGAATAAAATATTGGGGATTTAAGTAAAAATATACATAGAGACATATAAATAATTATATAATTAAAGATATGTAGGCTATGTTAGGTGAATACTGCTGTCAAATGAATGGTGTTGAAATGTTTAATTTTGACTTAATTCCAGGCCTGGAATACCTACCTCAGAAAAATGTTGTTCAACATTGATATTATTGTTAAAATTGTTGAAAAGCTGTAAGAGAAGACAAGAGACTAAAGCTAAAACAGGAGTGTTCCCTCTCTGCTGACCAGAGTTTATGTGCCTTGTGTCTCTTGTATCAGGCACAATCATAGGCTTTGTTATTTAATGATATTTTTTTATTATTTATTCATATTTGTTACTTTTCCTTTTGTATCAGGAAATAAGCACAATATATCTTTATGTTGAAAAAAATCGTGAGAGAATCATGATCTCAATTATAAGCCAAAAAATCGTGATTCTCATTTTTTCCAGAATCGTGCAGCACTAATTGTGACATAATTGTTGTTAGGCTAACTGTGCCAGAGATCTGTGTGCAACATTGACAAATTGTAATGCCCCCTACCCTTACCCTAAAATAATCAAGGCACGCTGCTTTCTCTGCAGGTGAAACAAAGTGACTTCACAATGCCACAGGATTAAAAACAAGACAGCTCAACAGTGGAGCTACAACAGTTAGTCAGTTAAGATTGGTCAATCAGCAGTAAACTAATTGGCAACTATTTTGATTTAATAAATAATTAGTGTTCTTTAAGCAAAAAAAAGACAAATGTTTGCTAATTAGTTAATTATGCTTCTTCACTGTGAGGATTTGATGCTTTTCTTTGTCATACATAATAATAACCTGAATAGCTTTGGATTTTTGCCTGTTGGTCGGATAGAACATACATTTGAAGATGTCACCTTGGGCTCTGTTAAATTACACAGAGCATGTTTGACAATTTTGTAACATTTTATTGACAAAGCCATTAATTGAGAAACTAATAGGCGGATTACTCAATAAGAATAATAAACATTAGATGCAATTTATGATTTGATACTCTAACTTTGCAGTGTTGGTGATGATTGGAGACAAATCTGTCCATGCACTATTGATTTCTCTATTTTCCTCTTAGGCATTTCCTTTTTTGAATTTGGAGCTAGCTTAGCAATGGAGACTCAAGGCTAGCCATCGCTATTGGAGTTCAACAACATTTCGAGAAAAGGTGCCCGTCTGTAGACGTGTGACACACATTTTAGTTGTGAAATGTTATTATCTGTTTTATAGGCAACACGTTTACAGTTAAGGTCCTCACGCACCATAGCCAAGTTGAGAGATGACAAAGCTTTGGTCCTCCACATTGTGGATGCTCACTAGGTCCCCTTCTTCTTTGCGACACGCTTTCTGAGCATTAGACCATGTTTGCTGATCACGATGAAGGTGGAAGCAGTGGCCATTGTAGGGAATCCACGGGCTTGAACAAAATCCTGTCTCGGTAGCTGATCATAAAAAAAAAAGAAACATGTAAGTACTTTGTAACTGATATCATACAATTAACCAAAGACAAGACATTAATACAGTAAACTGTGGAAATAGAAAAGAATAAAATTGGTATTTTTCTTTACCTTGAGTAGGAGTAGTCACAGCTCCCTCACTGTAGCAGATGTACCCACGTTTCTTTTCGCACGTTGAGCTTTGCCAGGAGTACTGTACCTCACCATCAACAATTGCGCAGTTGTGTCCCGGAGAAGGCAGTGGGTTTCCTAAAGCAACACGGTGGTTAAACTTGGAGACTCAGTTCTCAGATGTTTTGTCAGAGTTCTCAAAGTCACACATTATATTTATAACACCTAAACAAAATTCATTGCTATGACATTATTATAAATTCAGCACATTTGTAGGCCCACACCATAATTGTATTACAAAGCTAGTGGTATCAAACTACAGTAAAAAGAAAAACATTAAAAAGAAGAATATAAGCAGAAATAGGAACTTAATTTAATTTGAGTTTGTGTATACATGCATGTAAATGTCTTCTTGTAATCAATGAATACATATGTTATAATATTTAGATAGCATGTGGTCATTAATTACCCTTAGCCCTTCCTGTGGTTTGTAAGTTTTAAGCAAAACAAAATCACTTTTACAGCTGACTGACAACATGGTGTGCATAAAGTACAAATGATAAAGGAAAGATGGGATATACAATTGCCCAATCTTAGCATTCTAAGAATAGTAACACACAGTATTGAAGTGGAAGATAAACTTACCTGAGTCCCAGTTCAGATAACGGTAAGGCTTCCCATTGGACCAGTGCCAGCCATGTTCTTGGTTCTTGCTCAGCCCAGTCCAAAGCTTATTGCCCCCTGTTCCTAGTAGTGCTGCAGGTGTGTTTGTGTGAGTGTTTGAAAACAAAAAGGCACAAGGGACAAAGATGATACAATTATAAGGAGTGAGGCTCAAACATCATAGTGTGTTAAAGTAGTAAATTAGTGTATTGTAATAGTGTATTGTGTGCATACATACATATATACATTAAGATTAGTTTCTTACCTGTGATGTAAGCCTGCTCGTGAGGATCGGTGATACTGAGCAGGGAGGCCACCTGCTGTTTGCAGCTGGCTTCAGCCTGGGCCCAAGTCAGAGCTGCTTGTGTGTTGAGCTGGTAATATGCTCCTGTTGTTATGTGTTTGTGCCAGTTTTCTCTAGCTGTGAAATATACATGCAAAAGTATGTAAATGCATTTCAAAATGCAATGTTTTTATGTCTGTCAGAAGTAAACCTGAGGGAATCATGCATTTGGTCGTGTGTGTGTGTGTGTGTGTGCGTGCATGTGTGTGTGTGTGTGTGTGTGTGTGTGTGTGTGTGGCTGTCTGCAGCGATCTCGCAAACTTCAAGACCAGTTAGCCTAATATTTTTTGTGTACATTGATGACTGAATGCTGAGGGATCTCTGATGGTTGCCGTGATTCACAATTGTTGAAAAACCTGTTTTATTGACTGTTTGATACCATCATTAGCTCAGCTAAAAACAATAAGACTTATTGAGTCTGTTCCAGAGCACATTTTGGGCTATTTTCATGGCTCAAAAACTGACGTCTATAGAAAAGAGTGGTCTTATTTTGAACCAGAGCATCTGCAGATTAATTCCAAACACAATATTTTATGATCCATTAAAGTTAGGCACATTACAAGAAAAATCAGTCCCCATTTTTAGTATCTTCAGCGTCATCTTTTATCATAGCGCATTTTTTTGCATCCGAACGGTGTCGTACCATAACAGGAGCGTTTCAGAAGCACAGCCTTGTGCCCACCCAATTTGGCAGACTTGCACATTTGATCATTTATCCTTTATATTTGTGTTTCTATCATAAGTTAAGTAAGCAGCCTAATTTGTTGTGCCTTTGCCTACAGACAAAGATGACTGGCATGGATCAAAGATTTTTGGCTGTGGTTTACTTTTTAAGAATAGATTCATCCTGAAAATAACATTGTATCTATAATTGACATACAGTGCCTGTCAGCAGGAGAACTCGACCTGCTCTCTGCAATGTGCCATGGCTCTGTCAAATGTAGACAAGGCATGTATTTTTATTATCTTCTGGGATACTAAGCCGCACAGCCTTTTTTAATGTAACCTCAAGTTGCACATTTGTGCCTTATTGTTTACATCAAATATTAGAAGCTGACTTGAATTTAACCTAGTGGTAGGTCATATATCACATAATGCCCTGCCTATTATAATCCTAACAGCCTTCATTATCCAACTAATTGTAAATCAGTGTACACTTCTAAAATCATGCATTGTAACCATTCTCTCGTTGCAGTAAAATAAAAGAGGCAGTACTCACTGTTAGTTGGGCAGAAGCCCCAGAGTTGATTTTCAAATTTAGTTTGAACTGCACACCAAGGTTGGCTTCCTGAGGAGTCGTACATTGTGCATTCTGTGTACCACTGGTCTTTGTACAGAAAGGGAAACATGCAGACCCTACCATTTGCATTTCCCCCAATGGTGTAAAGTTCTGAAAGGACGAAAAGAACAAAACAAGAAATATTTTGAGTATTTTGAGAACATCATTTATCAAAATATAACACATTACCTCACCACTTACAATGCAAAATAATTAAAATGCGGAATGAAAATATATTATAATTCATCTAAAGATTTACAAAGAATTAGCATAGTAATCTGTGGCCAGGAATTACCGTGGTTAAACAATACTGCTTTATACAGTACCTCTGTATGTTCTTGTACAAGCACCGCTGGATGTCCCTTCAATTGTGAGGTGGTTATTGGGTCCTATTGTTTTGGAGAGAACTGCTGTGTTATCTGCAGTGAGCTCAATGTAGAGCTTCTGGTCTTTAAGGGCGAGCACTGTTCCATTCTTGCATTCCCATTTTTGGAGGTCGCTCTTTTCGTCACAGTCGTAAAGGCTTATTTCACTACCCACACTTTTCCCTTGGACTCCCAGGCACTTATTGAGCCAGGGAACCAGAAGTCTGTCCCCAGTTGTCCAGCGTATGTAATAGCAGAAGTCATGTCTTTTAACCAAACAAAAACCAGTGTCTTTGTTCGTTAGTTTAAATGGTGAATCTGATGAAAAAGATTATTAAAGAATTAGTACACAGTTGTGTTTATATCAGGAAATCCTCTGAACAGCTGTTTAACTTTCTACAGTCAATCATTGAGGTTGTTTCAGTTGTGTAAAATTGGATTTTACATTACATGGACAATATTACAGACTAGTATTTACAGAATAAACTGAAATGTAATAAGCAAGCAAAATAAGAATCACAATCACCCCAAATTTGAACTGTAACAAATCTGCAAACATGGGATAACACATGCAACACATTATAAGAACAACCGTCTCACATAGAGTTGGGTATATAGACCAATGTTCATGACACACCTGCTCTATAAAAACCCCACAGAAAGCTTGACATTGAAGTAAATTTGGAATACTGTACCATCTAAAGCCAAACACTGGAGCGTTAGGATGAGGAGCACAAAGGTTGTACAGGCTATCTTCATTGTTGATATTCTTTTGAGATGTCTTAAGCTGAAGACTTTATCCATGCATTTCTCACAGAGGATTTTAAAGTTGTGTGAATAATTGCTGAAAGCCGGTGATTTTAAAAGCTCTCAGTGAATCAGCATCATATCTTAGAAACATTTGTCAACTATTTCTTGTGAACAGGGAGGGACAAGTGATCACAACCACCTTTTTTTTTTTTTTTGCTGTAATTGCTGATATTTGCACGCGTGGGTGTGTTATTACAGACATTGTTTTCCCAGAAGTCCTGCTACAGGCAGACAAATACGGCAGATACACATTACTTACATGGGTGTGTGTTATTTCACAATAAATTGTGGCAAACAAGAAGTGCCAATACCAGGGGTGCTCTTCAGTGCCAGAAAATGGGAAAGATGTTCACATAGATTTACTTTACCTTTTGATTGTTTATTAATACCTAAGACCACCATTTTTTTCCATGAAGGTAACCAATAGTTTTTAACATACTAAAACTAGGTAGACAAAATACAAAAAGGGACATAAACCATGCCCACCTCCCAGAGAAAGAAAAATAGAAAGAAATAATAAAAAAACAATAACAAGATGTAACAAAAATACAGAACACATTAAAAGGGGTACAAAGGAGCATTATTTATAAGTGGGAGGTGTGTCTTGGTTCCTAATGTGTTGTCACATAGGGTTCCTGTATCCACAACGAAGATTGATAGTTTGTATGTCAGTCTCTTTTTGTGAATCTCCCATCAGTTCTCTTAGCTAGGTCTTAAACTGGGGAAACAACATGATTCTCATCCCAAGTTGTCACATATTGCCACGTTGGCAGTGGACTTTCACGTTGAAATATTATGTGCAAGGAAGTCTTCTGCATCTGCTGTTGACGTTCCAGGACATCACTACCAACAGCGGGATGTCAACAAGAGCATATGGTTATGTTTAGGCAACAAAAGCATGTGGTTGAGTTCGGAAAAAACATCATGGTTTGACTCTACATTCATAGGGGCACCGAACACTAAGCGCCCAGGTGAAAGTCCAGGGTCTGTTGGATCCATCCACCAGCCCTCAAGGATCCACCTGCCCACCCTATAGGAACTTTCTAGCTCCTTATATTATGTTGTTACCGCAGCGTTTCAGTATGACTCCGCCACCAGCATATTGTGCTGTCTAGCCGCGTTATAAACTGACGTTTGGCATCTAGACTCAGGCCTCATTGTTCCCTGTCAATATGTTTACATTAGATTTGGGAAGTGATGATTAAATATTTTCCCCCCTAGCCGGAGCCTGCAGGTGGATGATGGGATGGAGGTGGGGCTGAAAGAGGGAGCGGCAGTACTGATGCAGGACAGCAGCAGCATACACAATGCAAAGGAAGAGCTGGGAAGATTTCGCAGCTTAAATAGCCCACCAAATTAGGAGGGCGTGTTTTGTAGATGACATATGGGGAGTGATGTATGATGTGTGTATGAATCAGTGCTGCTCGAGTTGACTGCCTGAACTAGCTCGCAGGCATCGCTCTTTTTACGACAAGATAAACCCATTTCCCGGAACTATAAACACCTTCCGCCTGTCTCCACGTTTTAATATTCAAAGCTCATTGCACAAATCTAACACAAAAGTTGATAAATGAATCAATCATAGCACTGTGTAAGTAAGAAATTGAAACTTCTTGCCCACCCTAGTTCATAATGTGCCCCTCGACGTATGTAAGATAAGCTGGAGAGCCAATGGCCAATGCAACCCAACCTTAGCTGTTACAGGCTTCCATCCATTGTCCGTACATTCAGAAGGGAAAACAGGTAATTTTCCTTGTTTGTTACTGTGATATAAGGGCGTCCCAATAAACAACCTGACAATAACCATGATATTTAAAAATAAAATTCTGATATGTTAGTTTTTATAGACTGCTTACACAGTACAAACAAGCCTATTAACTTAACAACCCAAACTGTAACCCTATCTACCAAAAGAAACTTTAAACACCTGCTTTCACACGTTTCAATATTCAAAACTCTCTCTGCAAAACATACACTTACGTAGCCAAGTAAATCATTCATAGCACTGTGTTTTCAGAAAACACATGCTCTCAAGATATCTAACGCAAGTCATCACGACCTAAACTCAAGTACCAAACCTTTCTCCACATGTAAACACTAAGCCTCAAAATTGTTGACACACCAATCACAACTGCACATGTCAATAAACAGGGCCTTGAGGCCTGTTCCAATCCAATCCATACCACAAAATGATACTTAGAATGTGAAATGCAGAACTTGCATGAAAACAGAGAGGAAGAGGAAAACAACAACAAAGACAAAACTTTGTATCACCCTTGTTCATCATGTGCTCTTACATGAGCAGCTGGACAATCATTGCATCCCAAGCGGAACTGTATCCACTGTCCATACTTTCACTAGGGAAAACTGGTCATTTGCCTTGTTGTTACCAAGATACATGTAATGTTGTAGTGCATATAGATTGAATCCCTTCACTCAGTGTAGTTTTTTGAGTTTATTGAAGAAGGTGGGTGGGTTGAAGAAGGCACGCAAAGGCGTTTTCCTACGCTGCCTGTCAAGACCAAACAAAATTTGTGATGAGACATTATGGTCTGACCCAGACCTGAGACAAGATGATGCTGATGCTCAGTAAACTTTGTTGAGTTTGGAAATAAAACCTCTGGCAATTGGGTATTTTACGTCCATTGACTCTTCCTGACATGTTTTGTCAGTGTGTAAAACATTTTCCTCTGTTAAATTGATCACTCCAGTGTCTAACAGTCATGGAGTGTGTGTTAATGATAGATTGTGTGTGAGGACAGTTTTGGCGCCCTATGTACAAGGCTGTTGCCGCAGCGGCCCAGGTTCAAGTCCAGCCTGTAGCCCTTTGCTGCATGTTATCCCCCCTCTCTTTCTCCCCCTTTCATGCATGCCTGTCCTGTCCATTACAGGCAAAAATGCCCCAAAAAATATCTAAAAAATAAAAAAATAGGCAAATCACAAAAGGCTGAAACAGCCATCAACGAAAAAAAAATCCCCTAATGGGGAGCCATTTCCGTAAAATGTAAATAGATAGTAATACAAGAGTAACAAAAAAATGTTGAAGGGGGATATTAGTGTGAGTGTCATGAAACTCCAATTTATGTGGATTCTAGAGAACTTTTTGGTAAACTATTGCACAACATTTAGAAAAAGGAAGTTGTTTTAATGCTGACAGTCTGGTTTTCTCTCTGAAAGCAAATGTGAACTTCACAGGAACTGACTGCAACTTGTGTAAATACTCAGAATCATTACATTTTCTTCTGGACGTGGATTAGTGTTAAGTGTGTTTGGTGGAATTTCTTGTTGTTCAATGGGTGCTATGGTAGCACTCAGCACTTGAGCTGCATTTTAGCTATAATGAAGAGTCAGCTGAACAACTCTGTGGTAAATCAGGTTGACAGCAAGTAAGAAAATATGGCACAAAGACACATGTTTATATTATCACCTAAGAAAGGAAGTGATGGAGCTTTATTCCTATCTTTATTCAAGAGAGTGGTCTATCAGTTTGAGAGCATTGTTTATTGATTTCATGTTCAAAATCCCTGCCCTTGCACTCAAATAGCCTCTGCTTGCGCTTGGATCTTCTCTGTTTCTGCTCAAACTGTGTGCTCGCACTCAGATACCATGTTGCTCGCACTCAGATACCATGTTGCTTGCACAGATTTCCTGCTCGAGCTTCGGCTTTTCTCCTCGCGCTCAAACTGTTGCTGTGCGCTCGCGGAATTCCTTTTCTCAGATTTCTGCCTTGCGCTTGGATTTTTTTGTGTAACAACCCTGTCAAAATCCTCCAACCAATAAAATGCCAGATTTACTGTTGACCAGTGAAATGATCCCTGCCTCCTTGTGGGCGCACTTGCTTTAGTTTTAGAGCGTCCCGTCCCGGTGGGTACTCTTTAACCGGGTTCATCCACTCCCGCCCTCCAGGGCTTTATTAAATGTTCTTCCCTTGCTTTCTTTACCACTTTTGGAATAAAGGGACTGTTAATTTACACACTTGCACCATATATATATATATATATATATATGTATATGTATATATACAACAGTTTGTTCGGACTGAGTAATTTGATTGGACGAGAGGCATTCCTTGAGTGCTGATACAGATCATAACATCATTGGGACATGTAACAGTAAAATCAGTCTGCTCACAGGTGTTATAAATATAAATACAACCGTTAATTTACCAACTGTCACACTTGTTACATTGACGCAAACTGACACTATAGCGTTACACCAAGAAGATGGATATTTTCCCAGAAATTACATTTGAATTAAATTATGAGTGGTCGTCAGGAGAGGACGAGGAAAAGGAAAGCCAGGAATCTTCTGTGCAGACCTCCAGGTGTGTTTGAATCCATGCTAACATCCAGGTTTGCCAACGTTTCATCAACCGAACTGGACGAAGTTACACAGCTGCAGATCAATGTAAATACAAAGTAGCTTGTGAGTTCCTGGCGTGTGTGCCGCGTTGCCTGGCAACAGACTGGGGGAACTGTTGTTTTTTTTCGCGGAGCTACATAACATACTTAAATAATTCATTTAATGACCTTTTGTTAACATTTCCTTACTCAGCATTGCTGTTTAAGCTGTTGTTGAACTTGTATAAAAGCAATATGATACTCGAGGTCGTGACGTTGTACTGTATATCGTCACGGCTGTAATTGTCTTCTGCGTGGATGAACCCAGTTAAAGATTACCCACCTGGACGGGACACTCTAAAACTAAAGCTAGCACAAGGTATGGTCAGTGTGCGAGCCACATGGTATCTGAGTGCGAGCACACAGTTTGAGCAGAAACAGAGTAGATCCAAGCGCAAGCAGAGGCTATTTGAGTGCGAGGGCAGGGTTTTTGAATGTGAAATCAATAAATAATGCTCTCAAACTGATAGACCACTCTCTTGAATAAAGATAGGGATAAAGCTCCATAGGAAGTGCTCTAACACTTGGATTAAAATAGTGATATTTTTA